AACCAATCTGGACCGGGAGGATGAGGTGGGAACCACAGATACAGGGAACTGAAGTCATAGGGCGGGCGAGAACTTGCCTGAGAGGAATCACTAAAGGGAGCCACCCGAGCTGGCCTTGTGGGGATGCGACGTGATGAAGGCCTCCTTTAGTTACTACAGGTAATGGTCATTTATGCAATGTTAACATTAAACCTTAGTTATGAATACTATTTCACAATATCGAGAATGGCCACGTTTAATGCGGTGAGAAAAAGTAGGATACAAAATACAGTACAATTATTATTTTTTAAAGTAGAGGAAGGACTGGTAGCGGATACGCTAGACAACCAATGATGAGGCGGCGGAACTGGGAATTCTCCTGTTGTACACCTCCCGATTCTAGCCAATCCGCGGGGACTCCCGGTTACCTGCGGGATAAGACTGCGATCCCACCATGGCCCCGAAGGCCAGTGCTGGCAACCCACGGCCATCCCGGCCACGGCCACCCGCTAGCCTCACCCCACTCCCGAACTCTCCCCGCCCCACGCCCAGCCACGCGGGCTCCCTGTGGCCGAGAGCGTCCGTGTCCCTTCCTCCACCGGCAGAATTCCCACTTCTTAGGCCCCAGCTCCAATCTCGACTCCTCCGCCAGCCCTGCAGACACCCCGACCAGGGCAAGCGCTCCTTGCCCAGGGACTCCCGCCGTGTCGCGGTCCGGGATCCCGGGCAGAAACGCAGGCAGGCTCCGCAAGCCAGCAGCCAGAGAGGTCCCGCCCCATTGCCCTCCGACCCCGCCCACCAGGACCCGCCCCTTCCCTGGGCTCCGCCCCCCCGCTCACAGAACGCGCTCCCGCCGCCTACCAGGACACGCTCTGAACCTGTCCATCAGGACCCGCCCCGCCGCCCATCTGACCCCGCCCCTCCCCGTCTGACCCCGCCCCTCCGCTCGTCGGACCCCGCCCACCAGGACACGCTCCGACCCTGTCCATCAGGACCCGCCCCACCGCCCATCTGACCCCGCCCCTCCCCGTCGGACCCCGCCCCTCCGCTCGTCGGACCCCGCCCACCAGGACACGCTCCGACCCTGTCCATCAGGACCCGCCCGCCGCCCATCTGACCCCGCCCCTCCGCTCGTCGGACCCCGCCCACCAGGACACGCTCCGAACCTGTCCATCAGGACCCGCCCCTCCCCGTCGGACCCCGCCCCTCCGCTCGTCGGACCCCGCCCACCAGGACACGCTCCGACCCTGTCCATCAGGACCCGCCCCTCCCCGTCGGACCCCGCCCCTCCGCTCGTCGGACCCCGCCCACCAGGACACGCTCCGACCCTGTCCATCAGGACCCGCCCGCCGCCCATCTGACCCCGCCCCTCCCGTCTGACCCCGCCCCTCCGCTCGTCGGACCCCGCCCACCAGGACACGCTCCGAACCTGTCCATCAGGACCCGCCCCGCCGCCCATCTGACCCCGCCCCTCCCGTCTGACCCCGCCCCTCCGCTCGTCGGACCCCGCCCACCAGGACACGCTCCGACCCTGTCCATCAGGACCCGCCCCGCCGCCCATCTGGCCCCGCCCAGCCCCATCTGGCCCCGCCCCTCCGCGCATCGGACCCCGCCCTCAGGCCCCGCCCCGCGCGACGCAAGCCCCACGTGACGCCGGTGCCTCGCGGTGCCCTTTTAAGGCCGCGCGGCCGTTGTTCCGCCTGGGTTCCTCGCCGTTGTCAGTCGCCGCCTTGCACGCCGCCTGCGGAGCGGCTTCTGCGCGTGCGCGCCGCGGGGCACTGTGGGGCCGGCGCGGAGCGGCCGTGGCCTGTGTCCGCCCGCTGGGCTCGCTCCCGAGGCGGCCGTGGTTCTGTAAGTACCGCCGCCCGCGCGTGTCCCGTGCGGGCGAAGGTGCGCGCGCGCCGCGGCCGTGCGCCTCGGGGGACGTGGCTGCTCCGCCCGCGCTCGCAGCCGCGGCCTGAACCCGGCGGCCCCGGGCTTCGCCCTCCTTCCCGGCCCGAGTCCCGCGGGAGCGCGGTCGGCGCCCGGAGCCCCGGCGCGGCGGGCGCGGTGCGAGGGCTGCGGCCCACGTCTGAGGCACGAGAGGGCGCGGAGGGCCAGGCCTCGGGCGCGGAGGCGGGAATGTGCGGGCCCTGGTGTGCGCGCGGGCGGGGAGAGTCCTTCCCGCCTCGCTCCGGGCGGTTTGGGTGTGTTCCTGGGACTCGCCTGCTTTACGTCCTGTCCGCACGCGGGTGGGCTCGCACGCCCCGCCGGGCTCGAGAGTCGCGCGCTCTGCGGCCGCGCCGCCGGGCGCCCTAAGCCTGGTTTTGAGCGAGGGGACGGGCGGTGTCCTGGCCCCGGCACGAAGGCGTCACCCAGTCCAGCAGGACACGGGGTCACCCGCGTGTGCGTCCCCAGAGTACAGAGTGTTGCTGGCGTATCCGCGGCCCGCAGTTCTTGCGTTCCTGAGCCGCCTCCCCAATAACGTGTAAATCACCAAGATGCGCCCTTGCCCAGCGCCCTGCGGGGACGCGCCGCGGCCCGCGAGCAGTGCGTCATTGTCATCCGAGGTTCCTCGTGGTCCCGCCCGGCTGACGGTCGAGGCTTTCCGTCCCTGCGCCCGTGCCCGCCCCGTGCCCGCCCCATGCCCTTCCGTACTCCAGGCCGCCTTCGGCCCGGAGAGCCCTCCCTGCCCTGAAGCGGAGCCATCACTGCACTTCCGAAGCCACGGAGCAGCCCTGCCCGAGCGCCTCTCCTTGCTGCCCCTGCGTACAGAGTTCTTAGTCCCTAAGCTGTTACGCGGCTCTCCTCCTGTGGAACAAACGACCCCAAGGGTTTATAAACAGCCATACATTTGTGTAAGAACGGAACCCTCCATGACAACGATGGCTCTCTGGATGGTGAGTTTGCTGGTGAGCTCGCTCGATTCCGAAACTGCCAGAGAGGCCTTGCATCAGTTGTACAATTGGAAAAAAGAAAGACTTGTGTTGAACAGCAAATGGAAACAATCCATTTCTACTTCCTGTTGGTAATTTAGTGCGTAGTAGTTTAGACTTCTTCACAAAAATTTGTACATAGTTTTTTATCTTGACCGCTGTCTATTTTGTACATCATCTCTTTATTTTGATCTTTGTTTATTTGGTACCCAGTCTTCCGTATGATTTTCGATGTACAGAAGTGCTGCAAATATAGGAAAAGATTTAAAATTTGATAAATTGGACTTCATAAAAATTTAAAACTTTGGGGTTGCAACTAGCACCATCAGGAAGCAAAAAGACAACCCGCAGAATGAGAAAATACTTGCAAATCGTATGTTTGAAAAGGGTCTGGTATTCAGAATACATAAGAGCTCTTACAACTCAATAAAAAAGGCAGACTAATTAAAAACTGATTTGAATACACATTTCCTCAAAGAAGATAAAGAAATGGCCAGTAAGCACATACAGCAGAAAAGCTCGGTGTCCTTAGCTGTGAGAGAAATGCAGAACTGCAGCCACAATGAGATGGCGCCTCACACCCTCTAGGATGGCTCCAGTCAGAAGGACAGACAGTAACAAATGTTGGAGAGGACGTGGAGAAGTTGGAACCCTCATATAATCCTGGCAGGAATGTCAGCCGGTGCTATTGCTTTGGAAGACAGTTTGTCAGTTCCTTAAGGAGTTAAACATAGAATTATATGGCCTAGCAGTTCCGTTCTTAGGTGTATACCCAGGAGGAATTGAAGGAAATAATTAATGCCCGCACAGAAACTTGTACACAAATGTTTATAGTAGCATTATTCATACTAGCCAGAAGGGGTAAACAAAATGTGATGTATCCACTCAGTGGAATACTTCGGGCAGTAAAAAGGAATGAAGTACTGATATATGCTGCAACGTGGATATATTAGGTGCTGGGGTTGCTGTGACTAAGCACCACAAACTGGGCAGCTGAACAGAACTTTTTGGTTCACAGTTTTGGAGGCTAGAAGTCCAAAATCAAGGTATCGGCAGGGTTGGTTCCTTCTTAGGGCTGCGAGGGCTGTGCCTCTCATCTAGCTTCTGGTAACCTCAGGCGTTCTTGGCCTGCAGATGGTGTTCTCCCTGTGTCTTGACATTGTCGTACCTCTCTGTGTCTGTGTGTCCAAATTTCTCCTTTTTATAAGGAGTCCGTGAGTTTGGGGCCCACCCTAATGACCTCATCATACCTTGCCATCTGCAGACACCCAATTTTCAAATAAGTCACATTCAGAGAGACTGGGGGTTAGGACTTCATCTTTTGGGGGGGACACAATTCAAGACACAACAATGGATGAAGCTTGGAAATATGGTAAATGAGAGACCATTCACAAGAGGCTGCATGCATACTGTATGATGCCACATATCAATTGTCCAGAATAGGCAGCTCTGTAGAGACAGAAAGTGGATTAGTGGTTGCCTAGGGCTGGGGGGGGGGGATAGAGAGTGATTGCTAAAATGTGTGTAAATTATATGTATGTGGGTGATGAATTGTATGCCTGTAAAGCTGTTTAAAATATAATAACAACAACAATACATAGTTCTTGTTTACTCACCCAGCTTACCCTAATGTCAGCATATTACGTAACTAATACAATTAGCTAATCCAGAAAACTAACATCTATACAAAACTATTAGCTAATTTACAGACTTCATTCACATTTCATCAATTGTCCAATTATTGTGTGATAGGATAAAAAAATGCCATGTTGCATTTGTTTATCCTCTTAGCCTTCTGCAGAAATTCTAGTCTCTTTTTGCCTTTGATGACCTTGTCATTTTTGGAAAGTATGGGAAAGTTATTTTGTAGAATGTCCTTCAATTTGGACTTTTTTAAAAAAGATTTTATTTATTTATTTGACAGAGAGAGACACAGTGAGAGAGGGAACACAAGCAGGGGGAGTGGGAGAGGGAGAAGCAGGCTTCCCCACTGAGCAGGGAACCCGATGCGGGGCTCGATCCCAGGACCCTGGGATCATGACCTGAGCCGAAGGCAGACGCTTAACCAACTGAGCTACCCAGGCGCCCCTCAATTTGGATTTTCTGATTGATGAGATTCAGGTTATGCGTTTTTGGCAAGACTATTACAGAAGTGACGCCGTGTCCTCAGTGCATCATATCAGAGGGTACATGACATTGATAAGTTTTATTACTAATTAAGTCTGATCAGTTTGTTAGGTTGATATTTTAATTGTAAAGTTAATTTTTTTTTTTCTTTTTAAATTAACAGATAGCTTGTGGGGAGAAATGCTGAGACTATGTGGAAGTTTATTTACCACACTCTCACCCACTAGTTTTAGGTTACAGTCTTGCCTACAGCAATTATTACTGTGGTGTTTACCTATGCTTTTATTTCTAGTTCTCTTTATACATTTATTTTTATTATATATATATTTTTAGATTTTATTTATTTGAGAGAGAGAGAGAGTGTGCGCAAGAGAGCACAAGTGGAGTGAGGGGCAGAGGGAGAAGCAGGGAGCCTGATGTGGGGCTTGATCCCAGGACTCCAGGATCATGACCTGAGCCAAAGGCAGATGCTCAACTGACTGAGCCACCCAGGCGCCCCTCTTTCTACATTTATTAAATGGAATTCTGCTGTAAGGAAGAGCTGTCTTTTCTCCCCATTTTATTATTTATTTGTTTGTTTATTATTATTTTTATGTTTTACTTTTTTAAGTAATCTCTACACCCAGCATGGGGCTCAAACTCACCACCCTGAGATCCAGAGTCGTATGCTCCACTGACAGCCAACCAGGCACCCCTCCTCTCCCCAGTTTTTAATTTATTTTTTCAGTTGTTTTGTTTATATCAGTATGGGCTCATGGATTTTTATTCTATTGGTTTTAATCCATTAGTGTCATCATTTATTATGTGGCTCAAATTGTCCCCGATTTGGCCATTGAGAGCTTGTTGTAGGGAGCCTCTAAGATGGCCCCCTTGTGTAATTCCTACCTCCTGGTATTCAGGCCCCCTTGTGTAATCTCCTCTCCTTGAGTGTGGGCTGGATTTAGTGATGTTTCTAATGAATAGAAAAGGTGATGGGATGTCATTTCTGAGATTCGGGTAAGAAAAAGACTGGCTTCCATCTTGGGCAATCTCTCTTGCTGTCTCCTTCTCTTGCTTCCTTGCTCCCTCACTTCCTTGCTCTGATGGAAGCCAGCTACCATATTGTGAGCTGTCCTATGGACCGGCCCCTGTGCCAAGGAACTGAGAGAGGCCTTTTGGCAACAGCTAGTGAAAAACTAAGGCCCTCAGTCCAGTACTCCCCAAGATCATCTTATAAGCTCACTACTATCCAATGTTGTACTGGATGTTCTAGCCATATCTATAAAGCAAGGAAAAGAAATAAAATGCAGACGGTGGAAAGAAGTAAAAATGTTTTTATTCACAGACGACATGCTTGTCTGTACACAAAATCTGAGGGAGATTACAAAAAGCTTCTGGAACTATTAACACTTCAGCTGTTACAGATGCAAAGTCATCTACAGACATTAATTATATTTCTGTGTGCTAGCAACAATCAGAAATTGAAAAAACATTTTAATGCCATATACGGTACTATGAAAAATATTAAATGCTTCTGAATGAACTTGAGAAAAGATACGGAACACCTTTACACTGAAAACTACCAAACATTGCTCAGAGAAATTAAAGATCAAAGTAATGGCAAGAGAGGCTGTGTTCATGGATTGGAAGACTCAATGTTGTTAAGATATCTGTTCTTCCTGGGCGCCTGGGTGGCTCAGTCGTTAAGCGTCTGCCTTCAGCTCAGGTCATAATCCCGGGATCCTGGGATCGAGCCCCGCATCGGGCTCACTGCTCCGCGGGAAGCCTGCTTCCCCCTCTCCCACTCCCCCTGCTTGTGTTCCTGCTCTTGCTATCTCTCTCTCTGTCAAATAAATAAATAAAAATCTTAAAAAAAAAAAAAGATATCTGTTCTTCCTGAATTAGTATTTTCAATGTAATCAAAATAAAAATCCCAGCTGGGGCTCCTGGGTGGCTCAGTCATGATCTCAGAGTCCTGGGATAGAGCCCCACGTCAGGCTCCCTGCTCAGTGGGGAGTCTGCTTCTTCCCCTCCTCCTCCTCCTGCTCATGCTCTCTCTCAAGTAAATAAAATCTTTTAAAAATCCCAGCAGGCTTTTTTGGTAGAAGTTTGCAAATTGATTCTAACATTTATGTGGACACACTGAGGACTCAGAATGGGCAGACCAACTTTGAAGAAAAACAAAGTGGGAGGACTCAAGCTATATGATTATAAGATATATTATGAAGCTATACAATGAAGAAGATATGTTGGCATAAAGATAGCCAAGTTATCCTGAAATAATGAAAGAATAGAAAAAATGAAATATGAAAATGAAAAAAGAAGACAGTACAGAAATAAACCCACATGTTGATTTTCAAAAAGGTGCTGCCATAAACTGAATGTGTCCACCTAAATGTCATATGTTAAATCCTAATCTCTAAGGTGATGGTATTAGGAGGTGGGGTACTTTTCAATTAATTAGGTAATGAGAGCAGAGCCCTAATGAATGGGATTAGTGTCCTTATAAAAAAGAAACCCTAGGGAGTTCCTTTGTCCCTTCTGTCATGTGAGGACACAGGAAAAAAAACACAGTCATCTATAAATTAGGAAGTGGGCCCTACCAGATACTAAATCTGCTTGTGCCTTGATCTGGGTCTTCCCAGCCTCTTTGTTGTTTGTAAGCTCCCCAGTCTATGGTATTCTGTTATAGCAACCGGAATGGACTAAGATGGACGCCAGAGCAATTCTATGGAGAATGGCTCTGGAACAATTAGATAGATGCAGAAAAAATAACCTCAACCTTGCCTCACATAAAAATGGATCATAGACCTAATTGTTAAATTAAATTAGAACTATAAAACTTCTAGAAAAAAAACAAAATCTTTGTAACCGTGGGTTTAACAAAGATATTTTAACTATAACTTAGGCATGAGCTATACAAGAAAAAAATCCATCTATTGGGCTTTATCAAACCATGAGGAAACTCTGAAGTGTGGAGAGAAGATGGGAGACTTGGGAAGGAATCTTGGGATCTGAAAATGACATGACAGTGAGTTCTCTTTTTGCTTAATATATCCTGGATTTGGTGCTGGAGAAGCCAACAACCTGGAAATACCAACGGGAGTTGGGAAGGGGAGGAGCCCCAACAGAAGCCTGTTCTCTTTCACCCAAGGACCAGGAATGGGGCAACTTAGCAAGACAGAAAAATTATAAGCAGTAACTGCTTTACTATATTCAAACACCATGGAACAAAATGGGGCCCCATCCGCATTAGCAAAGGTTAAGTGGGGAGCCTAGACTTTTATGATAGCCATGTTGTAAAGAGGCAATCCTCCATCCTTGCTGGGGTGATGTCAGAGAAGGCCCAGAGGAGATGGGATTGTCGTGCCCCCCCACAGTGATGATACCTTTTCTCGCTCACAGTGAAGGCCACATGGGGAGCAGTTACAAGGTATTCCTTACCCTCTGTATTGGTGTTCTCTAGAGAAACTAGGGGTTGGGGTGGGAAAAGGGAGATATATTTATTATAAGATACTGGCTTATGGGATTATGGGGGCTGAGAAATCCCATGATTGGCTCTGTACAAACTGGAGACCCAGGAGAGCTGGTGGTGTGGTTTGAAGGCTGAGTACTGGAGAACTAATGCTGTGGATTCCAGTCTGTGTCTGAAGGCCTGAGAACCAGGAGCACTGAGTGCGGAAGATTGATGTCTTAGTTCAAGCATTTAGGCAGAGAGCCAATTTAACTTTCCTCCACTTTTTTTGTTCTGTTTAGGCCCTCAACAGATTGGATATTACCATCCACATTGGGGAGGATCATCTGTTTTATTCAGTCCCATCAATTCAAAGGCTAATCTCTTCTGGAAACACCCTTACAGATGCATTCAGAAATAATCTTTAACCAGCTACCTGGGCATTTTGTGGCCCAGTCAAGTTGACATAAAAATTAACCATCACATTCTTGCAGCCAGGGTGATGGACTTTCATCTTCACTTAGCTGTAATAAGGTGGGGTCTTCCTTCTTGTGCTTGTGTGATGTCAGAGGAGGCCAACAACCTGGAACTGTGAGAAATAAATCTCTGTTGTTTACAAATGTAACTCAGAATTCTCTATACAGTGAAAATATTCTTCTGGAATAAAATGGAAATCAAGACATTCTCTGATGAAGGAAAACTAAGAGGATTTGTCACCAGAAGATCTGCCCATTCAAAAAAAAAAAAAAAGAAAAGAAAAAGAAAAAAAAGCTAAAGGAGTTTCTTCAGTTTGAAAGGAAATGATAAAAGAAGGAATCTTGAAACATCAGGAAGGGATATAGAACAGTAGAAAGAGTAAATATGTAAGTTAACACGATGAGATTTTTTTTTTTTCTCTTGTTGAGTTTTCTAAATTAAATTTAATGGTTGAGGCAAAAATTGTAACATTGTCTGATATGGATCTCAAAGCATGCAGGGGGAATCTTTAGGACAACTGTATTATAAATGACACAGGATAAAAGATCTTAAAGGATTGTAATGTTTTTACATTTCACTTGAACTGGTAAAATGTTGACACCAGAGTGCTGTGAAAAGTTATGTATGTGTAATAAAAAACCTAGAGAGCAATTGCTAAATGTCTATTCAAAGAGATAAATTCAAAAGCACTATTGATAGAAAAAATGGAATTCTGACAAAAGGTACAAGGAAGGCAGAAAAAGAAAACAGACTGATGAACAGAGGAAAGAAACAAAATGAAACAAAAACCCCACTGAAGTCCTAGTATATCAATAATTACATTAAATGTAAATATCAGAATATGCCTATTACAAGAGAGGGACAGAGTGGATAAAAATATATAGTCCCCACAAGAAAACTCAGTTCAAAAGTAATGGTATAGGTAGGCTGCAAATAAAAAGATGGAAAAAGATATGCAATGCAGACAGTAATCAAAAGGGAGCAGTAGTATTGCCAGGTAGATTCCAGAGCAAAGAAAATTACAGGGACAGAGAGGAGCATTTCATAATGATAAAAAGGGTCAGGCTATCAAGACATAGCAATCCTAAATTTGTATGCACTAAACAATGGAGCTGCAAAATATGTAAAGCAAATATAGAACTGGGAGGAGAAATAGACAAATCCATGATTATATTGGAGACATCACTACCCCTCTTCCAACAATATATTGAAGTACCCAGAAAATCAGCAACGATACATAACAACTCAATGGTACTGTCAATCAACAGGGTCCAACACACACAATACAGCAATAGCAAAATAGGCATTCGTTTCAAGTCTTCATGGACAGTTTACCAAGATAGACCATTTATCACAATAGGACCATAAAACAAGCTTCAACATATTTAAAATAATTGAAATCATACTGTGTGTGTTCTCAACCACAATGGAATCAACTAGAAATCAGTAACAGAAAGATAACAGGAAAATCTTGGAACAGTTAGAAAATAAAGAACAATTTGCTAAATAATTTATGAGTTAAAGAAGTTTTAAAGGATAATAAAAAAAAGCATATTGGACTGAATGAAAATGAAAGCAAAATATACCAAAATACGTGGGATGTAGTGAATGTAGTACTAACAGGAAATTTTATAGCTCCAAATTCTTACATTAGAAAGAGGGAAAGTCTCAGGAAAATAATCTAACCTTTCAACTTAAGATCCTATAAAAGGAAGAGCAAGATAACCTGGAGGTGCAAAAGGAAGGAGACAAGAGAATCAATGAAATTGAAAAGATAAAAACAGTGGAGAAAATAAGATAGTTCTTTGAAAAAAATAGATAATATTGACAAACATAAATTGTTGAAAACAAAAACAGAATCTTGAAAGCAGCAAGAGAGAAGTGACTCATTACATAAAAAGGATGTTCAATAAGACTATCACCAGATTCCTCACCTGAAACTTTGGAGGCCAGAAGTCAGTGGGTTAGCATATTCAAAGTGGTGAAAGGAAAAACAACAACAACAACAAAAACTTGTAAGTCAAAAATCCTATATCCACCAAAACTGTCCTTCAGAAGTGGAGAAATTAAACCCAAAGCTAGCAGAAGGAGAGAAATAGTAAAGATCAGAGATGAACAAAATATAGAATAGAAAAGCAAGTTTTTGAAATTGTTTCTTGAAAACACCACCACCACCACCACCACCACCAAAAGACTAAAGAGGATTCTAGGAAGATGGTGGAGTCAAAAGCGTCAGGAATCTGTTTCTCTGCCTGGACAACAATTGTACTGGCAGAATCATCTGATGTAACTATTTTGGAACTCTGGAATCTGTTGAAGGCTTGCAACTTTCAGGGGAAGGTTTGGATAGGAAATTTTACTTGGTTTCAGTTCTAGGATGGTAATAGCTACCCATTGCCAACCCCCAGCCACTTGGCAGGCAGCCGTTCCTGGACCAACTTGCACACAGCTTGTGGGAGCCAAGCAATCAAGAAGGATTCTGCCCTCCAAATATCAGGGATCTTTCATCTGATCACTGATTGCTGCTTCTGAACATAGAGGTGCAAAGAGGCAGAGAGCCATTATTGCACCTTCCCAATCTGGCTCAAGTGTCTTACAGGATACTTACTCATTCAAAGGAAAAAAAAATACAACAGAATTTATTCCTGAAAATGACTTATTGGCAGATAAATTAGGCAAAGACCTTAAAATAATGTTCTTAAAGATGCTAAAAGAACTAAAGGAAGATGTAGAGAAAGTCAAGGAAACAATGTGAACAAAATGCAAGTATCAATTAAGAGATGGAAAATCTAAAAAGAAACGAAAATGAAATTCTGGAGCTGAAACGTACAACTGAAATAAAAAAAATCACAAGGGGGCGCCTGGGTGGCTCAGTCGTTAAGCGTCTGCCTTTGGCTCAAGTCATGATCCCAGGGTCCTGGGATCGAGTCCCACATCAGGCTCCCTGCTCAGCGGGAAGCCTGCTTCTCCCTCTCCCACTCCCTCTGCTTGTGGTTCCTCTCTCATTGTGTCTCTTTCTGTCAAATAAATAAATAAAATCTTTTTAAAAAAATCACAAGGAATCAAAAGCAGATTTGAGCTGGCAGAACATAAAGCAGTACTTTAAGAAAAGACAATGGAAATTATTGAGGTTCAGGAATAGAGAAAGATGAAAAATAGCAAACACAATCTGGATGTCTATGGGAAACCTCCAAAAGCACCAATATTTGCACTGTGGGACTCTCAAAGAAGAAGAAAGAGGTAGAGAGAATATTTAATGAAATGATGGATGAAAGCTTCCCAGATTTGAAGAAAAACATGAATATAAGCATCCAAGAAGCTCAACAAACTCCAACTAAGATGAACTCAAAAAGACCCACTCTAAGATACATTATAATCAGACTTTCAAAAGCCAAAGAAAAAGGGCAAACCTTGGAAGCAGCAAGAGAGAAGACAATTGTCACAAACAAGTGATCATCAGGGATTATCTGCAGATGAGTAATACTTTTCCTGTCTCTTTGCCTTGTGATATTTTGTCGAACACTGGACATTTGAATCTAATAATGTGATAACTCTGAAAATCAGATTCTTTCCCTTCCCCAGGGTTTGCTGTTTTTTGTTATTTTTGTTTATTTTTTATTGTTATACTCATTCTGTGCCCAGGATCAGCCCAAGGTGTAGATTTAAATCTTAAATCTTCTTGTCTTTTTTCCTTGGGCATGCACAATCATTTTCTAATTTTCCCTGTATATGCAGGTGTTTTTGAATACCTTAATCTTTAATGCCTGGTTCCCCACCACACACACACACACACACACAGCAAAAAATGAAGGGATGAACGGGGTGGGGAAGGGCAATATAAAACACACTTTTAGGGACGCCTGGGTGGCTCAGTCCGTTGAGCGCCTGCCTTCAGCTCAGGTCATGATCCTGGGGTCCTGGGATTGAGTCCCACATCCAGCTCCGTGCCAGTGGGGAGCCTGCTTCTCCCTCTGCCTGCCACTCCCCCTGTTTGTGCTCTCTCGCTTTCTCTCAAATAAAATCTTAAAAACAACAAGAAAAAAACCCCACACTTTTAAACAACCAACAGATTGAAGAGGAAATCACAAGGGAAATTTGAAAATACTTAGACAAATGAAAACAAAAACAACATACAAAACTCATGGGTTACATTGAAAGTGGTGCTAAGGGGGAAATTTATAGCTATAAATGTCTACATTAGAAACAAGAAAGATCTCAAAACAGCAACAAAGCTTTACAACTTGAGGAACTAGAGAAAGAATATGCTAAAGCCACAGCTAGCAAAAGGAAAGAATAAAGATTAGAGCAGAGATAATGAACTAGAGTGTAGAAAAATGGCAGAGAAAATCAATGAAACCAAAAGTTAGTTCTTTGAAATAACATAATTGACAAATCTTTAGCTGAATGGACTAAGAGAAAAGGAAGTCTCAAATTACTAAAATCAGAAATGAAAGTGGGGACATTACTATTGATTCTACAGAAATAAAAAATGAGAGTACATGAACAATTGTATGTGAAAAATTGAATAATCTAGATGAAATGGACAAATTTCTAGAAGCACAAAACCTACCAAGACTAAATCATGAAGAAATAGACAATCTGAATAGACTTCTTAACCAACTGAGCCACCCAGGCGCCCCTGAATAGACTTCTTATTAATAAGGAGATTGAGTCAGCAATAACAAAAATCTCCCAACAAAGAAAAGTGCTGGTCCTGCTGATTTCACTAGTGAATTCTACCAAATATCTAAAGAAGAATACCTTTTCAAACATTTTCAAAAAATTGAAGAGTACACTTTGTAACTCATTCTATGAGTCTGGCTTACGCCAGACAAAAACTACAAGAAAAGAAAACGACAGACCAATGTACATGAAAAACACAGCAAACAACACTCAATGGTGAAAGACTGAAAACTTTAAGATCAGGAATAAGGCAAGGATGCTCACTTTCACTACTTCTATACAACATAGTAATAGAAGTTCTAGCTAGAGCAGCTAGGCAAGAAAAAGAAATAAAAGGCATCCGAAGTGGAAAGGAAAAAGTAAAATCTCTGTTTGCAGATGATATGATCTTATATGAAGATTCTGAAGATGCTACCAAACTATTTAATAAATGAATTCAGCTTAGTAGCAGGATACTATGTTAATACAGAATACAGTTAATACAGAAACCAGTTGCAATTCCATACACTAACAATGAGCAAACTGAAAAGGAAATTATGAAAGCAATTCTTGGGGTGCCCGGTGGCTCAGTCAGTTGAGCATCCATCTCTTGATTTGGGTTCAGGTCATGATCTCAGGGGTCATGAGATGGAGCCCTGTGTCGGGCTCTGTACTGGGCATGGAGCCTGCTTGGGATTCTTTCTCTCCCTCTCCCTCTGTCCCT